CAAAATGAGTAGTGAAAGACAGTAAAGAACCAACGCAGTTCGCAGTTATAGGGCGTGGATAAAATAATTTCCAAGACAGCAATTCAATTTTAACGATCCTTTCGCTTTATTCCAATAAAACGAAACGAATAAAGCGAAAGGATCGTTAAAATTTAATTGCTGTCTTGGAAATTATTTTATCCACTACAACTGCGTTGGCTCCTTACTGCCTTTCACTACTCATTTTGATTTGTTAAATTTCTTAAAACTCAGCTTTAACGAATCGCAAGTTATTATCTTCTAATGTTATGTTTTTAGATTTCTTTTTATGGTCATGTTCACAGTATATATCTTAAGATTAAATAAGAGAATTCTTAATAAGTAAATAATTTCTATTTCTTTTTTTAGAAGAACAAATGACAATGCAAAATGGTACATAATCATTGGATTGTATCGCGAATACAGGAATATAAGTATATTACCTTTCCTTTTTCATTAATATTATAGAAAAGCAGTCAATAAAAAGATAACCACAATCAAATTACAAATGATCAAAAAAGTTTTAGAATTATAGATCTTGTAACATTTTCAGCCATATTCAAGCACACGCAGCGTGTAATCGAATTCACTTCAATATTTACTATATCTTTTATTAAATATGTTATTATGATGATTTGTTCGTACGATTGTGTTATTATGTATGCTTTTCAAAATCCATTATAGGTGAGTAAAAATCGGTATATAAATTCACTCTTAGTACATAAATTTTTGTGATATATAATACAGTTTGAATCAAACGATAAGTAACGCGGTAGCGTGTTTTGGCTAACGATCACAATAGTAACTAACTTTGAATAATCAATCTGATCATGTGTTGCCATGACTCGAACACCGAATCTTGATGTAGTTTTCCTCTCTCCAAGTACATGCTATTCGAGCGTCGCGACAAGCAGTACGGTCTAGTGATAGTAGGAAAGAACCGTCACGTTGAAAAAAAAAATATAATAATTTATCATATTATTTTATATTTTATACAATATATACATATATGTTATTTTGTTATATTATTTTATATATTATGTATAATATTAAATAAACATGTATTCTATGTTTATATATATATATATATATATATATATATATATATCTGTTTTACGCGATGGTGCCCTCTTTGCTACCATCACTAGACCAGCATAAACGAAACTGCTTTTCGCGACTCGGCCGCTAGCATGCACTTGGAGTGGGGAAAACGACTCCAAGATCCGAACTCTGGCTACGACATCTTATTAGACGCGCGTGTGTGTGTATACACATACATTTGTGATATTTTTTAATTATATTAAATTGTATTAAATTCTATATAATTCTATATAATTCTATATAAATTCTATATAAATTTAAGTACATGCGTGGTTGGAGAATCTCATGAAGTCTCATGTTCATGTATTAAGAGTTCAAGTACTTAATACAAGAAATATTTCTACAGCTTAAGTCTGTATTATTGTTATGTTTATATATTTCGGACCATAAGCATACTTTGCGTGAAAAATACTTTCGAACTGTGTTTTCATACTATAGTTCTATCTACACGGTGTCAATAAAATCTATATTCTCTTTTTAACTTCTTTTACTAATAACTTTTTTAACTTTTTAACAGCGAGTGACGGCTAAAATCTTTTGCATGTTACTCAGGACAGTTACCTTGATAACATATGTCAAGATCAAGGTAATCGAGGCGGGCTCTTTTCATCGACATATTTACCTTTTTAATATTTTAAACAAGTGTTTATATAATGTTTTCTTTAAATTAATGCACAATAATATATATATATATATATATAACAAAAAGTAAGAAAGCTCTCTGTAAATTCAAAATTAAAGTGATCTATTAGGCGTAGATAGCTAAAGACCAAAATCAATAATGTAGATTAATTAATCAAAATATATATTAATAATTCATAATATAAGTTCAAAACAAAACCAATATAATATATATAGATATTAAAGATGTGTGCGGACGTTTCGACTTACTTTTAAGTCATCTTCAGCGCAACTTTTGTAACAAAGATAGAGCATTTTATAAAAAGTTCGCAGAGAAGGAAAGCAGAATTAAACGCAGAAAGAATATAAACTAGTACTAATCTTAAAGGAGATACAACTCCAAACGCAACGGTTGTTCATAGTTAATTGTAGACAGCTTACTAATCTTAAAGGAGATACAACTCCAGACGCAACAATTGTTTGTGGTTAATTGTAAACGGCTTCCCATTATTTCCATAAGTGAAACCACTCTCGTTTGGGTTAATTGGCCCAAAGTTGAGTATGGTTCCTTAGAAAATATTGCCATGAGGAACAAAGTTGAACATGTATGTCGTTAAAAGAATCATCTGATGAACAATTATGTTAACATTTTTAAAAAATTCTTCTGTATCACTTACTCTCTTCATCACTTACGTAAAAACTCGACGCTGCTGAATAATATACAAATAAATTTGGCAGCGTCGAGTTTTTTAATAATTAAAACTTTTTAAAGCTTTAAAACTTTTTACGAGCTACATGAATCAACTGTTCAATGTTGAAGAAATCGGGATTCTGACTTTTACGACAAAGATGTAATAACTTTTGACGAAAATATAAACATAATTTTTCTTCATCTAATTATTTATCAGCAGTCAATCACATCTAACACACACACACACACACACACACGCACGCACGCACGCACGCACGCACGCACGCACGCACGCCACGCACGCACGCACGCACGCACGCACGCACGCCACGCACGCACGCACGCACGCACGCACGCACGCACGCACGCACGCACGCCACGCACGCACGCACGCACGCACGCACGCACGCACGCACGCACGCACGCCACGCACGCACGCACGCACGCACGCACGCACGCACGCACGCACGCACGCACGCACGCACGCACGCACGCACGCACGCCACGCACGCACGCACGCACGCACGCACGCACGCACGCACGCACGCACGCACGCACGCACGCCACGCACGCACGCACGCACGCACGCACGCACGCACGCCACGCACGCACGCACGCACGCACGCACGCCACGCACGCACGCCACCGCACGCACGCACGCACGCACGCACGCCACGCACGCACGCACGCACGCACGCACGCACGCACGCCACGCACGCACGCACGCCACGCACGCACGCACGCACCACGCCCACGCACGCACGCACCGCACGCACGCACGCACGCACGCCACGCACGCCCACCGCACGCACACACACAGTTGATAAACATAAAATAAAATCGCACACTTTTATTCTCGACGTAATTTTCTATTTAAATATATCATTAATTTTTGTAGATAGTTATGACAACTATTTTCCAAAATTTTTTTTAATACAGCAATTTTTTATTAAAATAATTTTTTGTAAAATAGTTGTATACAATAATGTTTTACTACTGAGATGACTCGACTTCTTTTTTTTACCTTTTTTTGAAAAGGTAATTTTTTTAGGATCTTGCTTACTACAGAATATTTTCCTTGAAAGTCTATAACTTTTTGAAAATTTGAAAAACTTAAAATAATACAATAAACATAACAATAAAAAAAACAAAATAAAATAATAAAAGAGACACAATAAAATAAATATAATAATAATAATAACTTATTTAAATTATTATTAGGTATTTTATTCGATACATGTATTATATAATCTGCGAAAGAAAAAGAAAACCATAAAATTAAAAAATGTTTTATATATAATCATATATACATATCACTATATATTGATATCTGAACTACTCATATACATATACATATACACTTATATATATATATATATATATATATATATATATATATATGTATATATATATATATATATATATATATATGTACATGTATATAAGTAATTCAGATACCAATATGTAGTGATAGTAACTATTTATATAATTTAAGTCACATTACAATAATTATTTTGTAAAACACTTGACAAGAAGTATTATTTAAATTTCATCATTATGATATCTGTTATATATATATATATATATATATATATATATATATATATATATATTACCCGAATCATATAAAATATTCATACATGATAACTGTTGTAAATTCAAAAATAATTATATTGTTATATTTATATATTTACAACTAATTATTGAGAATATTATTCGCATTTCCTCTTTCACTGATAAATTTTACAATGAATTTGTAAGTATCAGTCTTATATAATATTGAAAATTAATTATATTCACATGCTAAAAAAAATATTGTTTATACATATATATATATATATATATATATATATATATATATATATATATACAGGGTGATAATTGATAATTTGCAATCAACAATTACATTTTTTTGTTCGAAGCAATTATGTGTTTTCTTTACACCAATTGATTCTTCTCATTATTTTGTACATAAAAGTATTAAGGTAAAATAATCGAAAAATGAATATTTTACAAGATATTTTACGGTTTATGTAAAATTAAAAAATGATTTCAAGCCTCATAACTTGGAAAGTATTTAATGAAAACTAACATAATTGTAGTGTTTTGGAAAGCTCTTGAGATGAGCTACAAGAATATGCAAAAGCATATAAGGTGTCCCATTTAAGTTGGAGCTGACCTTCACGTGACCTTCGGGTGGCTCTTCAAGATTAAACTAATGACACCATCATATGTCCCCCTTGAAACCATACAACTTTTGCCTGAACAATTTTTTTATATTCGGCTTACCAACGGAGTTATTCAGGTGGCCTGTTTTAGATGCCTCACCCTGTATAATCGCAATCATTAAATTTCGCTTTGATTACTCAAAAACACAAATTAGATATATCATTATATTATTTGATTTTGTACAATCATGAAAACGAATGCAATATTTTTTAAAAATAATAAAAATTTTATGGAAGGTAAGATTACAAAATTTCTTTTATCTTCATTGATAAATCTAATATTAAGAATAAATCTGAAAATAACAGAATCAATTTAGAAATATTCAAAAAATATTTTTCCTCCATTAAGATTTATTGAATCGTTCGGAAAAGAAGATAAACATTAATTTAATTATATCAGCTAAATAGTATCAACTGGATTCAATAAAGTATCTTCTATGTTCTTTCTTAATGCTATAATATTTTCCAGACAAAATTTGAAATTTGGTCTAGCATCCGCTGCACTCCAGCAACGTAGCATCAACTGGTACAATGGTGACGGACAGTTAAGAGCTATCGGCAACCTGCCTCCAGCACGAACATAATTTATCACTTCTTCATCAGTCTTGGCAATATAAGGTTGCTCACCCAACGATGTAATTTCCCACATTAATACCCCAAATGACCAAACATCGCTTTGAGAAGTAAATATTCTGATCATCAAAGATTCGGGTGCCATCCAGCGAATAGGAAGCAAACCTTGTCCTTTCTAAAACATGATTTTAACAAAAATTTAATTTTCTTCAAGTTGTTCATTTTTAAAATATGTGCAAAATAAAAAACGTTCAAAAATCTCTTACTATATATAAATAAAAACTATTTATATTCTATATATATATATATATATATATATATATATATATATATATTACTTAAAGAAACAATACACGATACTATTATAATAAACTGAAAAGTATTTTCAAAAGAATTCATTTCTTAATCATTAATTTTTTTTCATAATTGTATTTACCACGCGATAATAATCACCCTTGTAGATATCTCTAGCTAGTCCAAAATCTCCAATTTTGATGACACGATTCTCGCGATTTTTCGAAGATACTAAACAATTGCGACACGCTAGATCTCTATGTACGAAACGCAACTCTTCCAAGTAGCAACAACCTCGCGCAACATCTTCGCACATGGCGAGCAAATCCTGCAAACGCAGAGCAGGCGAATCTGACGCTTGCAAATTTCGACAATCTCTCAAATATTTTAACAAATCACCAGTTTCCATCAATTCCAACACTAGTAACGGAGAATCCCCATCCAAGCAAACAGCCAACAATCTTAATATATGTTTATGTCGAAAATGATTCATAAGCTTGGCTTCCTTTAATAAATTCTTTTTCTCACGGGAAGAAGCATCTTTCCGAAGCGTTTTTATTGCAACGGATATCTCTGTGCTCGATCCTTCTAAGTTCTTCACCTTTCCTTGAAACACCTGCGAAATATTTCACATAAATTTATATGCGTCCGTCATTAGAAAATGTATAGTTTAATATCAGGTAATATTATATTTTACTTTATATTATATAATTCTACGAAAAATGTATAATAAAGTAAATGTTTGTTATCTCATCTAAATTTTATATTACTTATAATATATTATAAAAATTTATGTAACTCATATCTTTATTGGAAAATATATATTTGTTTTGTTGATCTAGAAATTAATTTGAAACATTGCTTGAAAAAATTAATTTTTACCATTCCGAATGCGCCGCTACCAAGAAGTTTTGTAAATGTAATTTGTTTACGTGCAATTTTAGTTATCGCACATTCATCCGGATTACAATGTAACATAGGACTGTAAATCGTATTGAATTCAGTGTATTGGCAAGATACTTCATCTAGAATGGCCAATTCCATATCGGTCGAAGACAAAAATTGTTCATTATTATATCTGCGTTCACGATGCACTGTTATTAAATTTCGAGTTAATTATGTAATAATATGTATTATAAGATCTATTGTTTTTTAGTAAATTTATTTTCGTTTAGTTTTATATAAGTAATTTACTATTGTCAGTAAATTTATAGCTATTATATCAGATATATATCAAATATATTTACCTACATCAAACGTACTTACAACGATAAAAGTAGCAGACGCAGATTATAGTAACTATAACGATAAAACCTAACATCAATATTAAGTAATATTTTTTCGCTATTATTCCAGGAGTGCCCGAAATATCTATATTAAGTAAAAATATAATTTTAATATCTTCGTTTATATGTTTTTACAAATTAATTTTGACTTATAACCTTATTAGAAAAATTTAATTTTTTGTTATTTTAGGCTTTTTCATATTTTTTATATCTTTTTATTATATTAAGTATATAGATACTATTATATTAATCATTATATTTTTCTATGCCTTTTTATACATTTTTTACATGCAAATATATATAATTATAACGGATCTTTAAAATTTTTAAATAAAAATATAATTAGTAATGTTTAATTAATTCTATAACTATAATGTTTATATATATATATATATATATATATATATGTATATATATATATATATATATATATATATATATCCCATTATAAAAAACATTTAAAATAAAAAGTGTGATTTGTAAGTAAAAGTTTAAAGTAATTTTGTATAAAAATATAATATTTTATGTTATGTGATTATGTTTAAATATAATTTTGCAATATATTAACTTAGACATGATTATCTTAGATATTGCAAACTTCTATTTATATCAAGCTTTTTAATTTAATTAAATGTTTCCAAGATATTCATCCATCAAAAACAAAAATATTTTATAACGTAATATTATTAAATGATTGCAATAACATTACATTTTTTCCTATATATTACACATTGTAATATTGCTACAATATTGCTACAATATTTCATTGCAAAAAACGGACATCTTAACTTCATCACAATCTTATAAAAATAACTCAGCAAAGTTTCGTAATCAATTTACAATATTGAAATGTTTCAATAAAATTATTTTTCAATATATCCGCAACCTTATTATGCCGGACATCTTAACTTCATCACAATCTTATAAAAATAACTCAACAGAGTTTCGTAATCAATTTACAATATTGAAATGTTTCAATAAAATTATTTTTCAATATATCCGCAACCTTATTATGCTGTATGGGTATCTTCGTTTGCTTACCAAGTGTTGAAAAAATAAATCTTTCATCAGCCGGCCATATAAAATTTTCCTCATATTCGGGATATCTTAATATCAAGCGAAACTTGTATAAAGTTCCCGATTGTAAATTTTCGATATGGTATATTATTTCTTTGTTATAATTTATTTTAATATAATTTGTTGTTTGCCACTTTTCTGTTGCATTCTCTTTGTACTCTAACGTAGGAGAGATCGTCAGATTGATGTTTGAGATCCATGAAATGTCCATGCTATTTATTTCGACTTCGCTCAAAGTAATATTGTTTGGGTCTGAGTATATGTGATCGATCTTGCTTAAACTCTCGTTGTAGAAATCGCTGAAATTATTTGGATACACACGCACATATATCAAGTAATCTTGTATCGGTAGCGACAAGTGTATCTTTGTGAAAAATCTGCCGTCTGCCGTACGTTTCGGCATATTGATAAATTGTTTGCCCTTTTGTTGCGTGCCGTTCGCTAATGTAACTGACTTCCAATGCACTTCGTAGGTCGCGGCCACGCAGTTCACTTTCTTGAGTGGCATCCAATGAACTACTGCTATAGTAGGCTTCAAAGCTAGAGCACTTACGTTTTCTGGTGCATTAAGCTTGCCTGAATTAGTTTTCATTGATATCACATTCGAATCGAATGGATTTATTGATAATTGATCAAAGTAAAAATTGCTTAAAGTATACTTCAACTTGTATTCTGTAAAGGGTGTTAAGTTCTGAATCTCGTAATATCGTTCGGCCGTCAGCACTTCGAATTTCTCAGACTTGTTAAGATTGTTGTCTAAACAGCTTACGGAGATGGTATATATAATAGTTGGTAAATTGTATTCTTTGCATCCACTTTTTACAACTCCCTGCGGAAGATTCACAAAAATAGTGTTTGACGTTGCATTCACATTTTCGAAATTATAAACTCTTTCGTCAGGTGTCAGACATCTCATTGGAGGATATGGTTGTAAAAATTTATCAAAAGCATAAATTTTATAAAACATATAATTATCTGAATTTATTCTTATCTTTTCAACATATTGGGCTGCTTTTACGCTCTTGAGACTGACATATTTTTTTTTCAAAACGTAGAGTATATATGGAAATGGATGTTCTACTATAATGTAAATGTTTGTTTTGTCAATCGTCATAGATCGGAAAGAGCGAGTATAATCTAATACCTCTGTATTGTGTAAAATCCCATTGCACATAGAAATGTTAACGTCTGTTACAACTATGTCCCAGTTATTTAACCAGTAAATTAACGATTCCTCATTATTCATGTTATCAATAATCATATCACGAAAATTATATTCTGAATAATGAAATAGGCAAACAGATGCATTTATCTGAATTTGTATATTTTTTCTATCGATAGGATATTGCGTCATATAAAATACCCCATTCGTTGAGTTGTGTAGGGAATATAAAATTCTAAAAAATATATAATTATTTTACTCATTATAAAACATTATTTTAACAAAAACAGAAACTTATATGTAGTGAAAATTCAAAATTATTATAATTATATAATAACTTGTAATTTTTTTTACTTATGATCTTAATTATAAAATCACGTAAAATTATAAAAAAATTACAAATTTGCATAAATCTTTAATAGAAAATTATTTTTTCAGTTCAACGGTAGTAAACGTACCCCATAGATACACTTAAACGGAGAATATTCATTTTTGATTTGAAAATCTCATCAAATTTAATTATGCCATTTTCCCACATTGTTAAGTCAAAACTTACAATATAAGAGTAGTCTAATTTTCGATAGGCTATATATAGATTTCTTCCTACCCAGTCAATACAAAGATCATGTGGATAATAATCAAAGCTAGCTATTTTTGTGATATTATTTTCATTAATCTTTAATGTCATTAGGTCACTCCCTGTTATCCAATAAATTCTACGTTCCTGTATCGAATAAGCGACATATGTTGCTGATCGGGAAAAGGAGGAGCTATATTCTATTACTGATCTGAAAAAACGGAACTATAATTGTATAGTAAAAAATTATATTTAAGATTTATAATTTCATAGTTATTACTACTATAATGTTGATAATAATAAACTTGTGCATAATAATAATAACTTTAATTTTATAGTTAATAAAAATAATTTACGATAATTTACGATAATTTACGATATAACTTTTTTTATCAATATACGTACTCTGACATTACAACATTAGTAATGCTTGAATCCACGTCCAATATTACCATATCATGCTTCGTTATGACTAATAATTTTGGTATTGAATTTTCATGTGTAGTCGACACATTGATTAAATCCGTATAAGGACCAGCAACAATTTTAGTATGTGCACGTACTCGAAAATAATATATCGTATTAGATATTAGATTGTGTACCGTGTGCTCCAATTTTGTAGTTATGATATTTTTATCGTCGCAGGTTTGAATCTCTTTTAAGTCTTCGATGAAAAAACATTGCACTGTGTATCCTTGTATTATTTCATTAATAAATTCAGGTTGGTTCCATCTGTAAAAAAACAAAATTTTAAGCATTTTATATTTAACAAGATTGTAATAAAATTAACTTTTTTTTCATATATTATTTTTATTTTTATTTATGTCGTTGAATTTAAGAAAAAAAGAGAAAGATAAAAGAATACTAACTGAGAATTTAAATTTCTTACCTCAATGTGACAAAAATGTCGTTTACTTTTTCTGCGAATTGACTGTTGAATTGTACAAATGCTCTGAGAGATGTCGGCTTGCTCAAACTGCTTTCTAGAAATTTTAAGATCGTACATATTAATATGATTATATATAAAATTAAATGGATTATCTCAATAAATCAGAAAGAAACAATTTAATGTAAAAATAAAGGAAAGAGAAAAAATAAATGTAAACTACAGAATATAGAAATTCGCACATTAACATTTAAAAAAATAATATAAGAATATTTTGCGTCATTCAAGGTTCAAAAAAGTAATCGTCAATTTATGGCAAAAACGAATAAATAACTGTTAATAAAATGACAAATACTTTTCGATAAATTTCTATAGCTTAAGAAATCAGAAGTATAATATTTGTGACTGCTTTAAGACAGAGTTTCAAATTAATAAAATTGAGATTTATCCTAAATTATGACAATTTTTATGTACACTGTTTATATTATGCTTTTCTATTTCTTTTTTGAACGGAATAAAATTTATATTCTTTTCACTGAAAGATATTTTTAGATTTGATTTCCACTCTCTCTTGAATTTAAATTATATTTACACTTTTTCGTCATAGATTTAGTTATTAATGTTTTATGCATTTTTTTGCAACTTACCGATAGATTCTGGGATGATAGAAACATTTGTATTTGTAACTTCATCGTCTTCTCGCTTATTTCTCACAGTACTATCAGAATGACTTCGGTCAGATTTGAAATTTAGTATATGATGATCACTTTTCTCGAAGATTGAAATATCCTTCATAAAGTATAACATACGAAAATAATTAAGTGAATATCGTTGAAACGGTTGTTTCTGGTGCGTTTAATGTTAAATTATATAAATTATAAAATTAAACGAAAAATTGCTAGTTGTTTTTGTTTGCTTAATAATAGGTTTGATATATACCATTCTTAAATGATATAAATTGAATGTGATGTAGTTTTATTCATATCGTAAAATCTATTTTTTTATTTATTTTTTTTAAGACATCTTGTATTTTAAAGATAACTCATGTTAAAAATAAAATTAATCAACAGGTTAATGAAAGTCATTGAGGATTCATAACAGCTTTTAGCAAGTAATACAAGCAAAAGTGTAGCTTTTGCAATTATTAAAACAATTTTGTCTAACGATTTGATTCTTTCTCACGATAGATTAGTTAATTCTGTATGAAACTTTAAAATTGCATATCTCAGGAACGAAGAGAGAGCGCCACAAAATTCAAATAGTGTATTACTTAGGAATATATCCTCTACAACGTATGTGAAAACAAAAATTTTTCGATCTATGTGACATTAAGTAAACATTTACCGCAATAACATTTAATTGTTTCTCAATCAAGCAAAAAATATCTCTTACCTGCGTGAAATTTAAATTCGGACAAATGGAAACATTTTCTTCCTGAAGGCTGTTTGAAGGAGTATAATCCTTCGGTATAAAAGTGATAATTGCCTTTGTCAATATTAAATCTTTTAATAAAACACATAAAATTGTTCCAAACATAATTTGCATTTTTCGTAAACGTTTGCACTCAATCGGTTTCCGATGAATCCTCAATTAGTTGTTTCTCTCATTCTATTAATTCTGATGTGTTAATCGAATCGATATTCGATGTTCATATATATACATATATATGAATATCAAATTTATATATCGAATTCATATATATACATATAATTCATATATATACATATATTTTCGATAAATTCCTTAAAACTCAGTTTTAACGAATCGCAAGTTATTATCTTTTAATATTGTTTTTAGATTTCTCTTTATGGTCACGATCACAGTATATATCTTAAATTTGGAAATTCTTAGTAAGTAAATAATTTCTATTTTTTTTAGAACAAATGACAATATAAAATAATACATATTCATTGAATTGTATAACGAACACAAGAATATAATTATTATTATCGTTCCTTTTTTCATATTATAGGGAAAAAGCAGTCAATAAAAAGATATCCACAATCAAATTATAAACGATCATAGAAATTATAGAATTATAGGTCTTGTAACATTTTCAGCCATATTCAAGCACACTCAGCGTGTAATCGAATTCATTTCAATATTTGCTATATCTTTTATTAAATAAGTTATTATGACAATTCGTTCGTACGATTGTGTTACTACATTCAATTGTGTTACTACGTGTTTTTTAAAATCCATTACTGATGAGTAAAAATTGGTATATAAATCCACTCTTTTTACATAATTTTTTATGATATTTGTATAATACAGTTAGAATCAAACGATAAATAACGCGGTAGTGTTTTAGCTAGCGATCATAATAGTAACTGACTTCGAATAATCAATCTGATCATGTGTTGCCATGACTCAGAGATCGGATGCCGTTTTCCTCACTTCACATGCTAGCGACCGAGCGTCGCGAAAAGCAGTATCGTCTAAACCGGTCTATGTGATGGTATCAAAGAGGGCACCGTCGCGTAGAAAAAGAAAATATAATAATTTATTATATTATTTTATATTTTATACAATATATACACATATATTATTTTATTATATTATTTGTATATTATGTATAATATTAAATAAACATATATTCTATGTTAATATATATATATATTTTTTTTTTTTTTTCTACGCGACGGTGTCCTCTTTGCTACCATCAATAGACCGGCATGGACGATACTATTTTTCACGGCATTCGACCGCTAGCATGCACTTGGAGTAGGGAAAACGATATTAAGATCCGGGTTCTGGCCATGACATCTTATTAGCTGCATTCCGTTGTAATTTATTTTTTTCTACGAAATTACTTGGCGTTATTTCAAAAAGAATTAAAACCTTTAAATATTGTTTGATAAGAAGGTTATATATGTATAAAACTGGAGAATTAAAGAAAATTTAAGAAGAGACAGAATTGCGACAGGCGCGTATATGGCCCTGAAGGCCGCAGGATTAATTAAGACCCGCGATCCTGCACAGTAAAAAATTTTGTGTTAAATTTAACATATTTCACATGTCCCAATTTATCCACTCTAATTTTAATGTTAATTTAACAGAAGGCAAGTATGTAAATAAATAACACAAGTAATATGTTTAAAAATTAATACAAAAGTGTAACACTTAAACTTTATCTAGAAATAAAGTTTATGTTAAATTAACATATTTATAATGTTAAATTTAATTAAAAGAAAATATTATTCTTACATTTTTATGATAAATAACAGAAGAGATATGTCGATTTAACATATGGAAACTGTTATAGAGAGAAAAATAACACAACTTATCTGTTCATTTTAACATATAACATATTTCATCAAAAATTCGTGCATTTACATATTGATTGTGTTGTTTTAACTCTTAGAAATGATGAATGTTAACTCAACGCAGAAATGTCAAAATAATGCAATAATAATATGTTACATTAACATAAGAGTATGTTAAAAATTTAACAAAAATTTTTACTCGAGAAAATTTTAACAGAAATACAAAATGTTTTTACCGTGCAAGTAATTCCGTAGAGAAAAATTAATTACAATGGAATGTAATTATTAAGACGTCATGGCCAGAGTCCGGCTCTTGGTGTCGTTTTCCCCACTTTAAATGCATGCTAGCGGCCGAACACCGCGAAAAGCAGTATCGTCTATACCGATCTAATAATGGTAGCAAAGAGGGCACCGTCGCATAGAAAATATATATATATATATATATATATATATATACCTTAACATAGAATATATGTTTATTTAATATTATACATAATAAATAAAAAAATATAATAAAATAATATATATGTATATATTATATAAAATATAAAATAATATAATAAATTATTATATTTTTTTCTTTTTTTACACGACGGTGCCCTCTTTGCTACCATCACTAGATCGGCTTGGACAGTACTGCTTTTCGCGACGCTCGGCTGCAAACATGCACATGGAGTGAGGAAAACCAGCAAGATCCGGTTTCTGAGTGCCAACACATGATAAGACTGATTATTCGAAGTCAGTTACTATTATAATCGCTAGCCAAATTTCACGCTATCGCGTCACTTATCGTTTGATTCAAACTTATATGAGCATTATATGAATATCACAAAAAATTATGTACAAAGAGTGGATTTATATTTCAATTTTTACCTATAATAGATTTTGAAAAGTATACGTAGTAACAAAATCAGACGAACGAATTGTCATAATTACATATTTAATAAAAGATATAGCAAATATTGAAGTGAATTCGATTATACGCTGAGTGTGCTTGAATATGGCTGAAAATGTTATAAGACCTATAATTCTATAATTTCTATGATCGTTTATAATTTGATTGTGGTTATCTTTTTATTGACTGGTTTTCTCCTATAATATGAAAGAAGGAACGATAATAATAATTATATTCTTGTGTTCGCTATACCATTCAATAAATATGTATTATTTTGCATTGTTATTTGTTCTCCTAAAAGAAATATAAATTATTTATTTACTAAGAATTCCCTAATTTAATCTTAAGATATATACTGTGATCACGACCATAAAGAGAAATCTAAAAACATAAAAGATAATAACTTGCGATTCTTTAAATTGAGTTTTAAGGAATTTATCGAAAATATATATATATATATTTATTAATATCAATTCGATTAACACATCAGAATTAGCAGAGTGGGAAAAAAACAACTATTTGAGCATTCAACAGAAACCAATTCAGTGCAAACGAGTTTACAAAAAATGCAAATTATGTTTGGAACAATTTTATGTGTTTTATTGAAAGATTTAGTACTGACAAAGGCAACTATCACGCCAAAGGACTATACTTCAAACATCCAGGAAGAAAGAGTTCCCATGTGTCCAGATTTAAATTTCACTCAGGTAAGAGATATTTTTCGCTTCATTAAGAAACAATTGAATGTTATTGCAGTTAGTAGTGTAATAAAAAATGTATGACAATAAATTATATATTATATATAATATTATACAATAATTTTATACAATAAATTATATATATATATATATATATATATATATAAATTATATATATTCTACCTATAATAAAATAAAATAAAATAAAACAAATCAATATGAAAGAAGAAAGTATGTACGATGTTGTAAAAAAAAAAGATGGATAGTTTCGAAATTTTGTTTACAAACGGATGTTATATAGTATATTAAATTTAATTAAAACGGTATTTTAAAATTTGACTGTATTATTTTGTCTTTCTCTCTCTATATATACATATATATATATATATATATATATATATATATATGTATATATATGTATATATATATATATATGTATATATATATATATATGTATATATATATATATATATATTTATTTATATTTTTTTTACATTGACGAAAATTCTCGTATAAGTATGATAAATAAGCGTACACGTTCATAAACATGCCCCACAAGCTTTGAGAGCTATTTTTATTTTTATTATTATTAAATATATTTACTTGTTTTTATGTTCAATATTACTAATATTGATTTTCAAGGTCAAAAAGTCGAAAATTTAAAGTTATTTACAAGATTGAGCGAGATGCACATCGAAAAATCGAAGAAAAATGCATTTTTCACGATTTTTTTCAACTTTGAACCGCCATCTTGAGTCCGCCATCTTGAATTTTTGAAATTACGCTACAGGGTCTTTTAGCTAGATACACATGACACTCTTAAGCGTGATTGCAATCTTTTCAAAGACCTTTTTCGAACTCAAAACATGAAATATCTGAGACAGAATCCGAAAAAAATTCGTGTTTTTTTTTTTTTTCAAAAAATCTCCGGCAACTTTTTTCAAAAATTTTATAGGTCAAATCTGACAACGATATCCGAAAGCTGAGATTCTAAGCTTTCAAAATCATTGTTTCACTAATTTTTCACCAGTCATTTTCATATATAGATTTAGCGCCGAAAATGATGTAAAAAAAGTGTCCGTTCCGTCCTTAAAGGGTTAACCTATTGATTGATTGTATTTTTGACATGAGTTAGGTTTGACATACAAGATGTGTTTAAAAAAATAAATAAAAAATACATTTTACGATATGAATGAAACTACATCACATTCAATTTATATCATTTAGGAATGATATATTTCAAACCGATATTATTAAGCAAACAAAAAACGAATGGCAATTTTTCGTTTAATTTTATAATTTATATAATTTAATATTAAACGCACCAGAAACAACCGCTTCAACGATATTCACCTAATTCTTTTCGTATGTTATACTTTATGAAGGATATTTCAACGTCCGAGAAAAATGATCATCATATATTAAATTTCAAATATGACCGGAGTCATTCTGATAGTACTGTGAGAAATGAGCGAGATGTCGATAAAGTTACACTTGCAAATATTTCTATTATCCCAGAATCTATTGGTAAGTGTTAAAAAAATGCATAAAACATTAATAACAAAATCTATGACGAAAAAGTGTAAATATAATTTAAATTCAAGAGAGAGTGGAAATCAAATCTAAAAATATCTTTCCGTAGTGAGAAGAATATAAATTCTAATTCCATCCAAAAAAGAAATAGAAAAGCATAATATAAATATAATTGTGTACATAAAAATTGTCATAATGTAAGTTAAAGTTAATTTTATTAATTTGCTATTTTGTTTTAAAGCAATCGCAAATGTTATACTTCTGATTTCTTAAGCTATAAGAATTTATCGAAAAGTATTTGTCATTTTATTAAAAGTTATTTATTCATTTTTGCCATGGATTAACGATTACTTTTCTAAATCATAAATGACACAAAGAATTCTTATATTATTTTTTTAAAGATCAGTACTGTGTTAATTTCCGTATTTTGTAGTTTATATTTATTTTTTCTCTTCCCTTTATTTTCATATTATATCGTTTATTCTGATTTACTGAGATAACCCCTTAATCTTATATATAATTATGTTAATATGTACTATCGTAAAATCCCTAGAAAGCAGTTTGAGCAAGCCAACATCTCTTAGAGCATTTGTACAATTCGACAATCAATTTACAGAAAAAGTAAACGACATTTTTGTGACATTGAGGTAAGAAATCTAATTCTCAGAGAATTCTCAAGAAATCTAAATTCTCAGTTTGCATTCTTTCATTTTTCTTTCTTTTTCTTAAATTCAACGACATAAATATATCAAAATTTTAATTCTGTTATAATTTTGTTAAATATAAAATAATTAAAATTTTATGTTTTTACAGATGGAACCAACCTGAATTTATCGATGAAATAATACAAGGGTATACAGTGCAATGTTTTCTCATCGAGGACTTAAAAGAGATTCAAATTTGCGACGATAAAAATATCACAACTTCAAAATTGGAACAGACGATGCACAATCTAACATCTAACACGACATATTATTTTCGAGTACGTGCGCATACTAAAATTTTTGCTGGTCCTTACACGGATTTAATCAATGTGTCGACTACACATGAAAATCCAATACCTAAATTATTAGTCACATCGAGAAAAGGTATCCACATTTTGGACGTGGATTTAAACATTACTAATTTCGTAATGTCAGAGTACGTACATTGATAAAAAACAATAGTTATAATTATCATAAAGTATTTTTAACACTAGCTATAAAGTTAATGTTATTATTATTATGCACAGGTTTATTATTATCAACATTATAGCAGTAATAACTATAAAATTAGAAATCTGAACTATAATTTTTTACTATACAATTATAGTTCCTTTTTCTCAAATCAGTAATAGAACATAGAACTCTTTAATTTCAGATCAGTAACACATGCCGCTTATTCGATACAGGATCATAGAATTTATTGGCTAACACGAAGTGACCTAATGACATTGAAGATTAATGAAAATAATATCACAAAAATAGCTAGCTTTGATAATTATCCATATAATCTCTGCATTGACTGGGTAGCTAGAAATCTATATATAACGTCTCAAGACTTAGACTACTTTTATATTGTAAAGTTCGATTTAACAATGTGGGAAAATGGCATAATTAAATTTGATGAGATTTTTAAATCAAAAAATTATATTCTCCGTTTCAGTGTATCACCGTCTATGGGGTACGTTTACTACCGTTCACTTGAAAAAATAATTTTCCATTAAAGATGCGAATTTGTAATTTTTCTATAATTTTACGTGGTTATAATTAAGATCATAAGTAAAAAATAATAATAAGTTATTATATAATTATAATAATTTCGAATTTTCACTACATATAAGTTTCTGTTTTTGTTAAAATAATGTTTCATAATGAGTAAAATAATTACATATTTTTTAGAACTTTATATTACGTTTCATACAATTGGACGCATACAGAATATGATATAATGAAATATCATCTTGATGGAAAAATCGAGCAAATTATTCGAATAAATACATCTTTTTGTCTACTTCATTATTTAATCAATTCTGTTCGTGATATGATAATTGATAACATGAATAATGAGGAGCCATTAATTTACTGGTTAAGTGACATTTACATAATTGTAACAGACACTAACATTTCTAAGTGTAATGCGATTTTACACAAAAAACACTTAAGTGTAAGAGACACCTTTTACTTCCAATCTATGACGATTGACAAAACCAACATTTACATATTAGTAAATGATCCATATATACTCTATCCATATATACTCTACGTTTTGAAAAAGAAATATGCAAGTCTCACGAGCGTAAATGCAGCCGAATATGTTGAAAAGATAATAATAAGTAATGATAATAATATGTTTTATAAAATTTACGCTTTTGATAAATCTTTACAACCATATCCTCCAATGAGATGTCTGACACCTGAGAAAGAAGATTATAATTTTGATGTGGCAGCAGGATCATACAACATCGATGTGAAGTTTCCGGAGCCGGTTGTAAAGAGTGGATGCAAAAAATATAATTTACCAACTACTATATATAATATCTCCGTAAGCTGTTTAGACTACAACCTCAACAAGTCTGAGAAATTTAATATGCAGACGTTCGAGAGATTTTACACGATTTGGAACTTAATACCCTTTACAGAGTACAAGTTGAAGTATACTTTAAGCAATTTTTACTTTGATCAATTATCAATAAATCCAATCAATTCGTATGTAATAATAAAACAAACTTCTTGGGTCAAGTTTTATAAGTTTAATGCACCAGAAAACGTAAGTGTTCTAGCTTTGACGCCTACTATGGCAGTAGTTCATTGGATGCCACACAAGAAAGTGAACTGCATGGACGTGATCTACGATGTGCATTGGAAGTCAATTACATTAGTGAACGGCACGCAACAAAAGAGCAAACAATTGATCAATATGCCGAAACATATGGCAGACGGCAGACTTTTCACAAAGATTAATTTATCGTTACCGGTAGAAGATTATTTGATATACGTGGGTCTGTCTCCAATGCTTGAAAAAGCTTATTACAAAAAGAGTTTAAGCAAGATCGTTCACATATACTCAGAACCAAACAATATTACTTTGAGCGAGGTCGAAATAAATAGCATGGACATTTCATGGATCTCAAACATCAATCTGACGGTTCCTCCTACACTAGAGTACAAAGAGAATGCAACAGAAAAGTGGCAAACAACGAATTATATTAAAATGAATTATAACAAAGAAATAATATACCATATCGAAAATTTACAATCCAGAACTTTATACAAGTTTCGCTTGATATTGAGATATCCTGAATATGAAGAAAATTTTACATGGCCAGCTGATGAAAGATTTATATTTTCAACACTTGGTAAGCATACGAAGATACTCATACAGTACAATAAGATTGCATGTATATATTGAAGAATACTTTCATTTAAACATTGCAATATTGCAAATCGGTTGCAAAACTCTGCTTATTGTGAGTTATAAGATTGTAATGTAGTTAAGATGTCTGCTCCTTCCAATGAAATATCGTACCAATGTTACAGTATAATATATTGGAAAGAATACAATGTTATTGCAACCATTTAATAATATTACGTATAAAATATTTTTGTTTTTGATGAATGAATATCTTGGAAACATTTAATTAAAAAGCTTGATATAAATAAAAATTCGCAATATCTAAGATAATCATATCTAAGACAATATATTGCAAAATTGTATTTAAACATAATCACATAACATAAAATATTATATTTTTATACAAAATTACTTTAAACTTTTACTTACGAATCACTTTTTTTATTTAAATATTTTTTATACTCTTATAATGGGATATATATATATAAAATTAATTAAACATTACTAATTATATTTTTATTTAAAAATTTTAAAGATCCGTTATAATTATATGTATTTGCATGTGAAAAACGCATAAAAAAGTATAGAAAAATATAATGATAAATATAATATCTATATATTTAATATAATTAAAAGACATATTATATTTGAAGATTAATATCGTATTCATACATGAAGTGAAAATATATCATAAAATATATTATAACATTTATATAAAATGTTATCTATATTTTAATAAGAAAATAGCAATGCTTATCTTTAGCTTAGAATTATATTTACTCGACTGATATTATTTCTGTGTCATTATTTCATTTGACTTCTGCAAAAATGTCAAATTCATCACATATAACACCATACAAATATAAAAAAATATATTACATTATTTTTAGAGATAAATTAAAGAGAGTTATAATTTTAAAATGTTTTTAAAATATAAATAAAATACTACTAATGTTTAATTCATATTTTGTTATTTTATATTTTTACAATGTTTCCGTAATGTTGCATTGCAATTTGTAATATTGCATTATTGTTGCAAAATAGTTGTAACATTCTATGCTGTGAAAATATTAAAATATTATGTGCTAATTTTTTAATATATAAATAAAATATAAATATAATATAAATAAAATTTAAATTTTTGTAATAAAGTTATAAGTAAAAATCAATTCGTAAAAACACGAAGATATTAAAATTTTTATTAATATTTTTGCTTAATGTAGATATTCCGGATACTCCAGGTATAATAGCAAAACGATATTACTTATTACTGATGTTAAGTTTTATCGTTATAGTTACTGTAATCTGCGTTTGTTACATTTATTATTGTAAGTATATTTGATTTAGGCATCGACTTAAATTGTACATCATAAATATATGCAGATATCTGATATAATATCTAGAGATTTACTGAAAATAATAATTTACTTATATAAAACTAAACAAATAAATTTATTAAAGAATAGTAAATTTTATAATTTATATTATTACATAATTAAATCAAAATTTTATAACAGTATATCGTCAACGCGGAAGTAATAATGAACAATTTTTGTCTTCAACAATGAGTGATATAGAATTGGCGATTCTACGTGAAGCACCTTACCGAAACGCGCAATTCTATATGATTTACAATCCTATGTTATATTGTAATCCGGATGAATTTGGGATAACTAAAATCGCACGTAATCAAATTACATTTACAAAACTTATTGGTAGCGGCGCATTCGGAAAGGTAAAAGTTAATTTTTTCAAACAATGTTTTAAAATAATTTCTTGATCAACAAAACAGATATGTATTTTCCAATAAAGATATCAATTACATGAATTTTTATAATATATTATAAGTAATATAAAATTTAGATGAGATAACAAACATTCACTTTATTATATAGATGAGATAACAAACATTCACTTTATTATTATTTTTCTTAGAATTATTTAATATAAAGTAAAATATAATATTACCTGATATTAAACTATACATTTTCTAATGACGGACGCATATAAATTTATATGAAATATTTCGCAGGTGTTTCAAGGAAAGGTGAAGAACTTAGAAGGATCGAGCACAGAGATATCCGTTGCAATAAAAACGCTTCGGAAAGATGCTTCTTCCCGTGAGAAAAAGAATTTATTAAAGGAAGCCAAGCTTATGAATCATTTTCGACATAAACATATATTAAGATTGTTGGCTGTTTGCTTAGATGGGGATTCTCCGTTACTAGTGTTGGAATTGATGGAAACTGGTGATCTGTTAAAATATTTGAGAGATTGTCGAAATTTGCAAGCATCAGATTCGCCTGCTCTGCGTTTGCAGGATTTGCTCGCCATGTGCGAAGATGTTGCGCGAGGTTGTTGCTACTTGGAAGAGTTGCGTTTCGTACATAGAGATCTAGCATGTCGTAATTGTTTAGTATCTTCGAAAAATCGCGAGAATCGTGTCATCAAAATTGGAGATTTTGGACTAGCTAGAGATATCTACAAGGATGATTATTATCGCGTGGTAAATACAATTATGAAAAAAAATTAATGATTAAGAAATGAATTCTTTTGAAAATACTTTTCATTTTATTATAATAGTATCCTGTATTGTTTCATTAAGTAATATATATAGAATATAAATAGTTTTTATTTATATATATATGGCAAGAGATATTTGAACGTTTATTTTGCACATATTCTCAAAATGAACAACTTGAAGAAAATTAAATTTTTGTTAAAATCATGTTTTAGAAAGGACAAGGTTTGCTTCCTATTCGCTGGATGGCACCCGAATCTTTGATGATTAGAATATTTACTTCTCAAAGCGATGTTTGGTCATTTGGGATATTAATGTGGGAAATTACATCGTTGGGTGAGCAACCTTATATTGCCAAGACTGATGAAGAAATGATAAATTATGTTCGTGCTGGAGGCAGGTTGCCGATAGCTCTTAACTGTCCGTCACCATTGTACCAGTTGATGCTACGTTGCTGGAGTGCAGCGGATGCTAGACCAAATTTCAAATTTTGTCTGGAAAATATTATAGCATTAAGAAAGAACATAGAAGATACTTTACTGAATCCAGTTGATACTATTTAGCTGATATAATTAAATTAATGTTTATCTTCTTTTCCGAACGATTCAATAAATCTTAATGCAGGACAAATATTTCTAAAATATTTCTAAATTGATTCTGTTATTTTTAGATTTGATCTTAATATTAGATTTATCAATGAAGATAAAAGAAATTTTGTAATCTTATCGTCCATAAAATTTTGATTATTATTATAAAATATTACATTCATTTTCATGATTGTACAAAATCGAATAAAATAATGATATATACCTAATTTGTGTTTTTGAGTAATCGAAATTTAATGATTGATAAAATAGAAAGATATAATAACATTTTAATGATATGTATTTGCATTGATAATGCTAATATAATTCAAGTTTGTACTAAAAATAAATAATTAACTCTATTAGTAATCTACAATTTCTACATAATAATTATTGCAACTTACTTTTTCCGGTACCTTAGCTTTTGTTTATTTTAGATTTCTCACGTCTTTATGCTGACAATAAAGATGACATTTTACTTTTGCATTCGTCTGTCGAGTGGTTTTTTCATTCCATTCCATGTTGAACGCTAGTACGCACTTAAGTGTACTGGCGACAATGACAATGCAAATCACCGATGCTTGTTGTGTTATTTTTATTTGTTTGAAGCCCGTCCAAACGACACGTGTTTTCCTCGCGTAACATCTTTTAATGTGGCGTAGTAATACCGACAAGCGACGGGACGCAACTCATCGCGCAAACATTTATGTTACGTTTGAATATTCGGTGCGAGATTACGGCAAAGTAGCCAGATTTTCTCCTCAAGCAACATACAAAGTAGTGGAGGGGGGGGGGGAGAGGTAACGAGGATGCAAGCGTAAGGCTGATGGCAGAGAACGGTCATAGTCGTGGACATAAAGTAAGACAGAGAAAAACGTATACGTAAGTAGCATGTATATTTGGCTTTGCCTTATTTTACATCCAATACTACGACAGACGTAAGTGTTAACAGCTATATATCTAGCGGAAAGTACGAATTTTAAACTAATAGCGTGGATAAGGCACCTGATTAGTACGCTGCGTGTCATTGGTTCAAATCTTACCTCAAACTTTTCTTTGTTTTATTATTGTGCTATATATTTTTATTATTTTAACAGACAACTTAATATTTTATATTATAAAATATACTTAAAAATCATTGAATTTAATTATTTGCTATGCAAAAAAATTTAATTAAATAATGGTTACTTCAAAAAGTAATAAAGCAAAATTTAATAATTGCGATTATACATATATATATATATATATATATATATATATATATATATATATATAATCGCAATCATTAAATTTTGCTTCGATTACTCAAAAACACAAATTAGATATATCATTATATTATTTGATTTTGTACAATCATGAAAACGGATGTAATATTTTTTAATAATAATCAAAATTTTATGAAAGATAAGATTACAAAATTTCTTTTATCTTTATTGATAAATCTAATATTAAGATCAAATCTGAAAATAACAGAATCAATTTAGAAATATTTTAGAAATATTTATCTTGCATTAAGATTTATTGAGTCTTTCGGAAATAAAGATAAACATTAATTTAATTATATCTGCTAAATAGTATCAACTGGATTCAATAAAGTATCTTCTATGTTCTTTCTTAATGCTATAATATTTTCCAGACAAAATTTGAAATTTGGTCTAGCATCCGCTGCACTCCAGCAACGTAACATCAATTGATACAATGGTGACGGACAGTTAAGAGTCATCGGCAACCTGCCTCCAACATGAACATAATTTATCACTTCTTCATCAGTCTTGACAATATAAGGTTGCTCACCCAACGAGGTAATTTCCCACATTAATACCCCAAATGACCAAACATCGCTTTGAGAAGTAAATGTTCTGATCATCAAAGATTCGGGTGCCATCCAGCGAACAGGAAACCAACCTTCTCCTTTCTAAAACATGATTTTAACAAAAATTTAATTTTCTGGTTCAAGTTGTTCATTTTTAGAATATGTGCAAAATAAAAAACGTTTATTTATCTCTTGCTATATATAAAGAAACTACTTACATTCTATATTACTTAAAGAAACAATGCACAATACTATTATGATAAAAAAATGGAAAGTATTTTCAAAAGAATTCATTTTTTAATCATTAATTTTTTTTCATAATTGAATTTACCACGCAATAATAATCATCCTTGTAGATATCTTTGGCCAGTCCAAAATCTCCAATTTTGATAACACGATTCTCGCGATTTCTCGAAGATACTAAACAATTGCGACACGCTAGATCTCTATGTACGAAACGCAACTCTTCCAAGTAGCAACAACCTCGCGCAACATCTTCGCACATGGCGAGCAAATCCTGCAAACGCAGAGCAGGCGAATCTGACGCTTGCAAATTTCGACAATCTCTCAAATATTTTAAAAAATCACCAGTTTCCATCAATTCCAACACTAGTAACGGAGAATCCCCATCTAAGCAAACAGCCAACAATCTTAATATATGTTTATGTCGAAAATGATTCATAAGCTTGGCTTCCTTTAATAAATTCTTTTTCTCACGGGAAGAAGCATTTGTCCGAAGCGTTTTTATTGCAATGGATATCTCTGTGCTCGATCCTTCTAAGTTCTTCACCTTTCCTTGAAACACCTGCGAAATATTTCAAACAAATTTACATGCGTCCGTCATTAGAAAATGTATAATTTAATGTCAGGTAATTTTATATTTTACTTTATATTAAATAATTCAATAAAAAATATATAATAAAGTGCATGCTTGTTGTCTGATCTAAATTTTATATTACTTATAATATATTATAAAAATTCATGTAATTTATATCTTTATTTTAAAATACATATCTGTTTTGTTGATCGAGAAATTATTTTAAAACATTGCTTGAAAAAATTAACTTTTACCTTTCCGAATGCGCCGCTACCAATAAGTTTTGTAAATGTAATTTCTTTACGTGCGATTTTAGTTATCCCACATTCATCCGGGTTATTATGTAACATAGGACTATAATTTGTATTGAATTGGGTATATCGGCAAGGCACTTCATGTTGAATCTCCAATTCTATATCGGTCATTGTTGAAGATAAAAATCGTTCATTATTATCTCTGCGTTGACGATACACTGTAAAATTTCGACTTAATTATGTAATAATATGTATTATAAAATATACTATTTTTAATTAAATTAATTCGTTTAGTTTTATATAAATACATTTTCAGTAAATTTTTAAATATTATATCAGATATATATGTGTAATCTACCATTCAAGTCGATACCTATATCAAATATACTTACAACGATAAAAGTAGTAGACGCAGATTATAATAACTATAACGATAAAATTTAATATCAATAATAAGTAATATTCTCTCGCTATTATTCCAGGAGTGCTCGAAATATCTATATTAAGCAAAAATATTAAAAAAAATTTTAATATTTTTAATATTTTTGTGTGTGTATGTTTTTACAAATTGATTTTTAGTTATAATCTTATTACAAAAATTTAATTTTTTTTAAATTTTAGGCCTATTCATATTTAAAAAAATTAGCACATAATATCTAAGCAGCACAGAATGTTACCATTACTTGGTAACATTAATGCAATATTACAAATTGCAATGCAACATTACGGAAACATTGTAGAAATATAAATTAACAAAGTATGAATTAAACATAAGCAAGATTTTTATATTTTAGGAACATTTTAAAACTATAACTCTTTTTAATTTATCTCTAAAAATAATATAATAATATATTTTTTTATATTTATATATATGTGATGAATTTTACATTTTTGCAGAAGTCAAATGAAATAATGATAGAAATAATATCAGTCGAATAAATATAATTCTAAGCTAAAGATAAGCATTGCTATTTTCTTATTAAAATATAGATAACATTTTATATAAATGTTATAATGTATTTTGTGATATATTTCCACTTCATGTACGAATACGGTATTAATCTTCAAAGATAACATATCTTTTTATTATATTAAATATATAGATACTAATATATCTATCATTATATTTTTCTATGTTTTTTATGAATTTTTCACATGCAAATACATATAATTATAACGGATCTTTAAAATTTTTAAATAAAAATATAATTACTAATGTTTAATTAATTCTATAAATATAATGTCATCAAAAACAAAAATATTTTATACGTAATATTATTAAATGGTTGCAATAGCATTGTATTCTTTCCAATATATTACACTGTAATATTGCTACAATATTTCATTGAAAGGAGACATCTTAACTACATTACAATCTTATAACAATAACTCAGCAGAGTTTCGCAATCGATTTGCAATATTACAATGTTTTAATGAAAGTATTCTTCAATATATCCATGCAATCTTATTGTACTGTATGAGTATCTTCGTATGCTTACCAAGTGTTGAAAAAATAAATCTTTCATCAGCTGGCCATGTAAAATTTTCTTCATATTCGGGATATCTCAATATCAAGCGAAACTTGTATAAAGTTCCCGATTGTAAATTTTCGATATGGTATATTATTTGTTTGTTATAATTCATTTTAATATAATTTGTTGTTTGCCACTTTTCTGTTGCATTCTCTTTGTACTCTAACGTAGGAGAGACCGTCAGATTGATGTTTGAGATCCATGAAATGTCCATGCTATTTATTTCGACCTCGCTCAAAGTAATATTGTTTGGTTCTGAATATATGTAAATGATCTTGCTTAAACTCTCATTGTAGAAATCGCTGAAATTATTTGGATACACACGCACGTATATCAAATAATCTTGTACCGGTAGCGACAAGTTAATCTTTGTGAAAAATTTGCCGTTTGCCATACGTTTCGGCATATTGATCAATTGTTTGCTCTTTTGTAGAGTGCCGTTCACTAATGTAATTGACTTCCAATGCACTTCATAAGTCATGACCACGCATTCCGATTCCTTGGGTGGCATCCAATGAACTGCTGCTATAGTAGGCGTCAAAGCTAGGACACTTACGTTTTCTGGTGCATTAAGGTTCTGGTGTTTTACGAGATTGCCCGATTTAGTTTTAATTGGTATCACATTCGATTCGAATGGTTTTACTGATAATTGATCAAAGTAAAAATTGCTTAAAGTATACTTCAACTTATACTCTGAAAATGGTATTAAGTCCTTAATTGTGTAATAATATCCCTTCTGAAGAATGAAATTGAATTTATCAGTTATGTTTAGATTGTTGAGATTGTCTAAACAGCTTACGGAAGTAGTATATGTAGTTGTTGGTAAATTATATTCTTTGCATCCACTCTTTACAACCGCCTCCGGAAAATTCGACATATACATGGTGTTTTCCAGTCTATCCATCCCTGCTGTTTTCTCAAAATTATAATCTTTTTCCTCAGGTGTCAGACATCTCATTGGAGGATATGGTTGTAAAGATTTATCAAAAGCGTAAATTTTATAAAACATATTATTATCTGAACTTATTATTATCTTTTCAACATTTTCGGCTGCATTTACGCTCTTGAGACTTGCATATTTCTTTTTCAAAACGTAGAGTATATATGGAAACGAATCATTTACTAAAATGTAAATGTTTGTTTTATCAATCGTCATAGATTGGAAGTAAAAGGTATCATTAACACTTATGTTTTTCTTGTGTAAAATTGCATTGCACATAGAAATGTTAACGTCTGTTACAACTATGTAACTCTCACTTAACCAGTAAATTAACAGCTCATCATTATTCATGTCATCAATTATCATATCACGAAAAGAATCTATAAAATGAAATATGCAAGACGATGGATTTATCTGAACAGTTTGCACAGTTCTTCCATCGAAATGATGTTGCCTCATATCATATACCTCATTCGTTAAACTGCGTGATAGGGAATATAAAATTCTAAAAAATATATAATTATTTCACTCATTATAAATCATTATTTCAATCAAACCAAAAACTTATATGTAGTGAAAATTCGAAATTATTATAATTATATTATAACTTTTTATTTTTTTTACTTATATCTTAATAATAAAACCACGTAAAATTATAGAAAAATTACAAATTTGCACAAATATTTAATGGAAAATTATTTTTTCAGGTGAACGGTAGTAAACGTACCCCAAAGACGGTGATACACTTAAACCGAGAATATAATTTTCTGATTCGAAAATCTTAAATTCAATTACGGTCTTTAACAACGTAGCCTTTTTCCACGTATTTATCCACATTGCTAAGTCGAATTTTATTATATAAAAGTTGTCGAAGTCTTGAGAGATTATATATAGATTTCTTGCTACCCAGTCAATGCAGAGATTATATGGATACGTATCAAAGGTAGCTATTTTTGTGATATTATTTTCATTAATCTTCAATGTCATTAGGTCATTTCGTGATAGCCAATAAATTCTATGTTCCTGTATCGAATAAGTGGCATGTGTTACTGATCTGAAATTAAAGAGCTATATTCTATTACTGATCTGAGAAAAAGGAACTATAATTGTAAAGCAAAAAATTATAGTTGAGACTTCTAATTTTATAGTTATTACTACTATGATATTGATAATAATAAACCTGTGCATAATAACTTTAATATTATAGCTAGTGTTAAAAATAATTTATGATAAATATAACTATTTTTTTTATCAGTATACGTACTCTGACATTACGAAATTAGTAATGTTTAAATCCACGTCCAATATGTGGATACCTTTTCTCGATGTGACTAATAATTTAGGTATTGGATTTTCATGCGTAGTCGACACTTTGATTAAATCCGTGTAAGGGCCAGCAACAATTTTAGTATGCGCACGTACTCGAAAATAATATGTCGTGTTAGATGTTAGATTGTGCATCGTGTGCTCCAATTTTGTAGTTGTGTTATTTTTATCGTCGCAGGTTTGAATCTCTTTTATGTCCTCGAAAAAACATTGCACTGTGTACCCTTGTATTATTTCATCGGTAAATTCAGGTTGGTTCCATCTGTAAAAAAATAAAATTTTAGCTATTTTATATTTAACAAAATTATAACATAATTAACATTTTTATATATTTATGTCCTTAAATTTAAGAAAAAGAGAAAAAAATGGAAGAATACAAATTAAGAATTTAGATTTCTTACCTCAATGTCACAAAAATGTCGTTTACTTTTTCTGTAAATTGACTGTCGAATTGTACAAATGCTCTGAGAGATGTTGGCTTGCTCAAACTGCTTTCTAGGGATTTTACGATCGTACATATTAACATAATTATATATAAGATTAAGGGATTGTTTCAGTAAATCAGAAAAAAACGATATAATATGAAAATAAAGGAAAGAGAGAAAATAAATATAAACTACAAAATACAGAAATTAGCACAGTATTGATCTTTAAAAAAATAATATAAGAATTTTTTGTGTTATTTATGATTTAGAAAAGTAATCGTTAATCTATGGCAAAAACGAATAAATAACTTTTTATAAAATGACAAGTATTTTTCAATAAATTAAAATAGCTTAAAAAATCATAAGTATAATATTTGTGACTGCTTCAAAACAAAGTATCAAATTAATAAAATTGACTTTACCTTAAATTAGGACAATTTTTATGTACACAGTTATATTTATATTGCTTTATCTGTTATATTATATGCTTTTCTTTTTTGGACAGAATAAAATTTATATTCTTCTGACTACTGGAAGATATTTTTAGGTTTGAATTCCACTCTCTCTTGAATTTAAATTATATTTACACTTTTTCGTCATAGATTTTGTTATTAATGTTTTATGCATTTTTTTGCAACTTACCGATAGATTCTGGGATGATAGAAATATTTGCATGTGTAACTTCTACGTCTTCTCGCTTATTTCTCACGGTACTATCAGAATGACTCCGGTCAGATTTGAAATTTAGTATATGATGATCACTTTTCTCGAACATTGATATATCCTTCATAAAGTATAACATATGAAAATAATTAAGTGAATATCGTTGAAGCGATTGTTTCTGATGCTTTTAATGTTAAATTATATAAATTATAAAATTAAACGAAAAATTACCATTCGTTTTGTGTTTGCTTAATAATACTAATTTGATATATACCATTCCTAAATGATATATATTAAATGCAATATAGTTTTATTCATATTGTAAAATTTATTTTTTATTTTTTTTAAAGACATCTTGTATATCAAATATAACTCATATCAAAAAGAAATCAATTAATCAATATAGGTTAACAAGAGTCAATGAGAATTTATAGCTTTTAGTAAATACTACAAGCAAAAGTGTAGCTCTTTGCAATTATTAAAACAATTTCTTCTATCGATTTGATTCTTTCTCACGATAAGTTAGTTAACTCGAATTTCTTTTCAAAAATTTCTCAATATTACTAAAGTTTTATTAATGTTTGTACTTCAAGAATAGAAAGGTTAAAAATATTGTTTCTTTACAATTATTAAATATTAGCCATAGAATTATATAAATTCTTTTATTTAAAACTTTGTTAAGTTTTTTTTTTGAATGTCGTTATATTTTTAACACAAACAAATCCTAGAAATGATAGTATAAACCGATAGTATGAACCGATAATGCCTCGATAAATATATGTGGATATAATTGTATATAAATGGATATATGTACAATGAAAATTAATATAATTTCTAGCGATGTTATTGAATATATTGTCGATCGAAATATTAGCGTTAACAGATGCAACTTGAAGAATGTTTGATGAATGATTTCTTTATTAGACAGATTTTCTATTTCGATGTTTAGTAGCTCTGATCCGTTATATAATTATCCTAAACACGAAGAAATGATGCTAACTTTCTAAACTAATTTCATAAAATAAAATCTACATTAGTATAAAGCTTATTATATATCACTAAATATTATTATATATATCTAGGAAAATTAAAAAATTTTAAAAATTGAAGAAAAATAACATAAAAATCTGTTGATGTGCCATCGTATGTATATATTAATGTAGCAGATAGTAGACAGAAAACTTCATTAATTTTAATAATTGTTATTATTAGAAATAATAATCATATATATAGAAAGAGAGAAAGAGAAAAAATAATATAGTCAAATTTTAAAATACCGTTTTAATTAAATTTAATATACTATATAACATCCATTTGTAAACAAAATTTCGAAACTTTATCCATCTTTTTTTTACAACATCGTACATACTTTTTTCTTTTATATTGAATTGTTTTATTTTATTTTATCTTATTATATAGATAGAATATATAATTTATTATCATTCATTTTTAGCTACTAATACTTAGCTAACAATGCAATAACATTCAATTGTCTTTTAATCAAGCAAAAAATATTTCTTACCTGCGTGAAATTTAAATTTGGACAAATGGAAACACTTTCATTCTGAAGATTGTTTGAAGTGCTATAATCCTCCGGCGTGATAGTTGCCTTTGTCAGTACTAAACTTTTCAATAAAACACATAAAATTATTTTAAACATAATTTGCATTTTTCGTATACGTTTGCACTCAATAGGTTTCCGATGAATCCTCAATTAGTTGTTTTCATAACTTTTTGTGATATTCATATAATGCAGTTTGAATCAAACGATAAGTAACGCGGTAGCGTATTTTGGCTAACGATTATAATAGTAACTGACTTCGAATAATCAATCTGATCATGTGTTGCCATGACTCAGAAGCCGGATCTTGCTGCCGTTTTCCTCACTCCATGTACATGCTAGCGACCAACGTCGCAAAAAGCAGTAACCGTCTAAGCCGGTCTTAGTGATGGTAGCAAAGTAAGCAGCGTCGCGTAGAAAAAGAAAATATAATAATTTATTATATTTTTTTTTATTTTATATTTTATATAATATATACATATATATTATTTTATTATATTATTTTTATATTTATTATATTATTTATTATGTTTATTATTTTTATTATTTATATTAGTTATTATTATTGTTATATTTATTACATTTATTATTGATATTATTTTATTGGATATTATTTTGTTATATTATTTTATATATTATGTATAATATTAAATAAACATATATTCTATGTTAATATATATATTTTTTTTTCTACGCGACGGTGCCCTCTTTACTACCATCATTTGATCGGTGTAGACGGTAGTGCTTTTCGCGGCGTTCTGCCGCTAGCATGCATTTGGAGTGGGGAAAACGACACCAAGAACCGGACTTTGGCCATGACGTCTTATTAGCTGCATTCCGTTGTAATTTATTTTTCTTTACGGAATTACTTGGTGTTATTCCAAAAAGAATTAAAATCTTTAAAAAATGTTCGACAAAAAGATGATATATGTATAAAACAAAAACAGTTCTATAAATAAAAATAATTATATGTGTTTATTTAATTTGAATTTTGTTAAACTTTTTATATTAATTTATTTCTCAATATCTTCTCTTTATCCTAGAGGCACGTTTACTATATAAAAAGATATTCTGATTATAAAAAGGGTAAGAATGGATTTAAAAGAGTGGTTTATGCGTTTTCTGTACATTCACATAATGCACTTTGAATCAAGCTACGTAACGCTTTTAAACTAGTATAAATAAGTACAAATTTACAGTAGCACATACATAACTAAAATAAACAATATAATTAATTGTACGAGCTATTATTATCATTATTTGCATTAAATAACCTTATAATATATATATATATATATATATATATATATATATATATAACTTATAATATAACTTTAGTTAATATTAACTTAATATAATATACTTAATATATGTAATATAATATAATAAAGAAATTTATAATATTATAATTATTTTATTATTTTAATTCTACTATTGTAATTTTATATACGATAGTCTTTATTATGCACCATTGTGCATTAGTGCATTCAATCAAATTCTATCTTTCTCCCGCTATAAATCACTTACTTTTTCCAAAAAAGTGATAAACACTTTAATTACGAGAAATATAATTGAAAATCATTTTTGTGACTTATTCCAGTCCATTCATTTATTAAATGATATACATTTTTATTTTCAAAAATACTTTTATATTATTAAAGAAACATTCTGCTAAGAATAATTAAGAATAATTCAGTGTGTTAAGAATAATTAAACAAGTATATAATGGTTTCTTTTTTTAAATTCATGCACAATAGTAAACGTATTTTCAAATATTTTATAAATTTATAAAAATTTATTTCCTCCGCAGCAATGATATATGTATGTACAAATATTTATATGTACAGTTTGAAATAAGAAAAAGTTTTAAAACATGAAATATGAAAAAAGCTGGAAAAGGAAATTACAATTGTGCGTTAACATTTATGAATTTACAAAATAGTTAATATTACATTACGAAGTGCAGATCTTATATAATATATAAAATACAAAAGTACACATGTTGAATATCTAATAAGTATCTTAAGAAAACAAACATTCAAGTATTAATACGTGCATAAAATTGTGTCGCAACGATTGATCTTAAAATGCATATTTAGCGATGTGTACAATTTAATCAAAAATCAAAGTGATAGAAATTTAAGATAATAAATAATCATTTCATTGAAATCTTTACGGACAATAATTATTACTTTAATGCTTAGAGTCACAAATATATTTCATCCATGTTACTTTATCATTCTATTTGACAATCTAAGTATAATTTGGGGGAGGGGGATTATGAAAGAACACGAAGTGTTCAATTGAATTGCAAATGCAAATAATTAGCATAACGAAAGACTTCATGATGAATAGTTTAATAAATAATCAATTAATCTTAATCAATAAATTAAAATACTTCTATAATTTAATATTCCTCGCGCAAATATTTTATATTACAGAAAATATTTCGGCAACGAGAGAATTAACACCATATTTGACCCTGATAAACAGTATGGCGCTATTGTTAACATGTTACACGGCTTTATTATCATTCGCACAGTGAATAGTGATGTGACAAACGTTTCACATATTATCAAATTTCTTTATAGTCAACCTTGGCGATATAAACAGTACCGCGATAATGTTTTTGACTTACGATCATTCGCTCAGTGGCTCTTGAGTGAAAGTAGTGATGTGAAATGTATAATATATTATCAAATTCTTTCTCTGAACATAATTGCAAGTGCAACGAAGAACTTTTCGTGAATGAGCTTTTCGCGATTCTCGGCCGCTAGCATGCACTTGGAGTGGGGAAAACGACACCAAGACCCGGACTCTGGTCATGACATCTTATTAGACGCGTGTGTGTGTGTGTGTGTACACATACATTTGTATTGATATTTTTTAATTATATTAAATTGTATTAAATTCTATATAAATTTAAGTACATGCGTGGTCAGAGAAACTTATGAAGTCTCATGTTCATGCATTAAGAGTTCAAGTACTAAATATAAGGAATATTTCTACAGCTTAAGTCTGTATTATTGTTATGTTTACATATTTCGGACCATACTGCGTGAAAAATACTTTCGAACAGTGTTTTCATATTATAGTTCTATCTACACGGAGTCAATAAAATCTATATTCTCTTTTTAACCTTTAACTCTCTTTTTAACCTTTTTAACCTTTAACTTCTTTTACTAATAACTTTTTAACGAACAGCGAGCGACGGCTAAAACCTTTTGGATGTTACTCAAGACAGTAACCTTGATAACGTATATCAAGATCAAGGTAATCGAGGCGGGCTCCTTTTATCGACATATTTACCTTTTTAATAATTTAAACAAGTGTTTATATAATGTTTTCTTTAAATTAATGCACAATAATATATATATATATATATATATATATATATATTTTTTTTTTTTTCAAATATTTATAAATTTATAAAAACTACGTACAAAAATTTATATATATATATATATATATATATATATATATATATGTATAATTTGAAATAGGGAAAAGTTCCAAAACATAATGTAAAAAAGACTTGAAAGAAAATTACAATTGTATGTGTTAATATTTATGAATTTACAGAATAGTTAATACTAGTTAATACATTAAAGCGCAAATCTTACATAAGATACAAAAATATGCATGTCGAGTGTTTAATGAAATATCCTAAAGAACAAACATTCCAATATAAATATCTGTTTACAATTTATTCCTCAATAATTTATTTATATCAGCTTGATAATATCTACTGGATTTAATAAGTCATCTTTTCAATTTTACTTCTTAGAGATATAACATTTTCGAGATAAAATTTGAAGTTTGATTTAATTTTCGCTGTTACAACAACAAAGTATTAAAATCAATGAACAGTTAATTCTTTAACTACGGTTGTCATCAATAGACGGCGAAACATTTTATGAAACACAGCTGTCGTCAATAAGCGTCAATAATTATTTTAAAATGTGCTGTGATGCCGAAATCGCTTATTTCAATTTCAGTTTCAATGGTTCTGTTTGTTTATGTGATGTTATCTAGGGTCTGCAATTATTTATTTTATTCATTCAATAATTCATTTCATTTATTTATATTACGAATCTCTCTCTCTCTCTCTCTCTCTCTCTCTCTCTCTCTCTCTCTCTCTCTCTCTCTCTCTCTCTCTCTCTCTCTCTCTCTCTCTCCCCCCCATTCTAAATTATCTAAATTATTTAAATTTTTAAATTATATTAATATAACATATAAAATATTCTTGATTTTATTTTAATATACTTAAAATATCTATAAAATGTTCTCGTATTAATTAATACTTTTATATAAATAGTAATATTTTATAAACTCCTTCACAATAATATATTATTTAAATATTTTATGCATAAAGCTCCATGATGAATTATTTAATAAATAATCAATTTTAATCAATAAATTAAAATACTTCTATAAATTAATATTCCGCGTTAGTGTATATTTTATAATATATAAAATATTTCGGCAACGAATTATCGATAATATGATGTTCGACTGTGGCAATATAAAATGTAAACAGTAGCGCGCTTTGTCATCATTCGCACAGTAACACTCGAGTAATAAAGTAGTGGTGTAAAACGTCTCGTATATTGTAATTTAAACACGACTAAGATTAGTATCGAAACATTTACTATAATTATTAATAATTAATAATAAATATAATAATAATAATAATAATAATAATAATAATAATAATAATATTATAATAATTATTAATAATAAATAATCAATTTTAATGAATAAATTAAAATATTTATATAATTTAATATTCCGCTCGTGTATATTTTATTGTATATAAAATATTTCGGGACGAATTATCAATAATATTATGTTCGACTTTGACGAAACAATAGCGTAAACAATAGCGTGCTATTGTTTGTATGTAATGATATTGCTATCATTTGCTCGATGACATTCGAGCAGTAAATTTTAGAAATTTTTCCCGATCTGTGGCCGTAAAGTAATATTCTCTATTCTCTAGGGGTAGTTTAGATTTATTTATATTGCGATATTTTGCAATATTTTGCAATATTTTGCGATATTTATGGGCGCAGAGTATTATTCTGTATCTAGGGGTAATTTAGATTTATTTATATTGCGATATTTTGCGATATCTGGGGGCGCAGACTATTATTCTGTATTTAGGAGTAATTAGATTTATTTATATCGCAATATTTTACGATATCTGGGGGCGCAGACTATTATTCTGTATTTAGGGGTAGTTTAGAGTTATTTATATTTCGATATTTTGCGATATTTGTGAGTGCAGTGTAATATTAATTTTTTAGGTTTAATTACAATGCGATATTTTGCGATATTTCGCAATATCTTGGAGCGCAAAGTATTATTCT